CAGACTTCCAACGAATAGCAAGGAGAGACAAGAGGGCGTTCTTAAATGAACAATGCAAAGAAATAGAGGAAGATAACGGAAAAGGAAAGACCAGAGATCTGTTCAGGAAAATTGGACATATTAGAGGAACATTTTGCGCAAAGATGAACATGATAAAAGACAAAAATGGGAGGGACCTAACAGAAGCAGAAGACGTCAAGAAGAGGTGGCAAGAATACACAGAGGAATTATATCAGAAAGATTTGGATATCCCGGACAACCCAGACAATGTAGTTGCTGACCTTGAGCCAGACATCCTGGAGAGTGAAGTCAAGTGGGCCTTAGAAAGCCTGGCTAACAACAAGGCCAGTGGAGGTGATGGCATTCCAGTTGAACTATTTAAAATCTTGAAAGATGATGCTGTTAAGGTGCTACATTCAATATGCCAGCAAGTTTGGAAAACTCAACAGTGGCCAGAGGATTGGAAAAGATCAGTCTACATCCCAATCCCAAAGAAAGGCAGTGCCAAAGAATGCTCCAACTACCGTACAATTGCACTCATTTCGCACGCTAGCAAGGTTATGCTCAAAATCCTGCAAGGTAGGCTTCAGCAGTATGTGGACCGAGAACTCCCAGAAGTACAAGCTGGATTCCGAAGAGGCAGAGGAACTCGAGACCAAATTGCTAACTTGCGCTGGATTATGGAGAAAGCCAGAGAGTTCCAGAAAAATATCTACTTCTGCTTCATTGACTATGCGAAAGCCTTTGACTGTGTGGACCACAACAGACTATGGCAAGTTCTTAAAGAAATGGGAGTGCCTGACCACTTTATCTGTCTCCTGAGAAACCTATATGTGGGACAGGAAGCAACAGTTAGAACTGGTCATGGAACAACTGATTGGTTCAAAATTGGGAAAGGAGTACGGCAAGGCTGTATATTGTCCCCCAGCTTATTTAACTTATATGCAGAATACATCATGCGGAAGGCTGGACTGGAAGAAACCCAAGCCGGAATTAAGATTGCCGGAAGAAATATCAACAACCTCCGATATGCAGATGATACCACTCTGATGGCAGAAAGTGAGGAGGAATTGAAGAACCTTGTAATGAGAGTGAAAGAGGAGAGTGCAAAAAACGGTCTGAAACTCAACATCAAAAAAACTAAGATCATGGCCACTGGTCCCATCACCTCCTGGGAAATAGAAGGGGAAGATATGGAGGCAGTGTCAAATTTTATCTTCCTGGGCTCCATGATTACTTCAGATGGAGACAGCAGCCCTGAAATTAAAAGGCGCCTTCTTCTTGGGAGGAAAGCGATGACAAATCTTGACAGCATCTTGAAAAGCAGAGACATCACCTTGCCAACAAAAGTCCGAATAGTCAAAGCTATGGTTTTTCCTGTCGTGATGTATGGAAGTGAGAGCTGGACCATAAAGAAAGCAGACCGCCGAAGAATTGATGCCTTTGAATTGTGGTGCTGGAGGAGGCTCTTGAGAATCCCCTGGACTGCAAGGAGAACAAACCTATCAGTTCTAAAGGAAATCAACCCTGAATGCTCACTTGAAGGACAGATCCTGAAGCTGAGGCTCCAGTACTTTGGCCATCTCATGAGAAGAAAAGAGTCCTTGGAAAAAACCTTGATGTTAGGAAGGTGTGATGGCAAGAGGAGAAGGGGACGACCAAGGATGAGATGGCTGGACAGTGTCTCCGAAGCAACCAACATGAACCTGACACAACTCCGGGAGGCAGTAGAAGACAGGAGGGCCTGGCGTGCTCTGGTCCATGGGGTCACGAAGAGTCGGACACGACTAAACGACTAAACACACACACATCTATCTATCTATCTATCTATCTAGGCAACCAGCTCCATATTAACTATTAGTTTTGCTTGTGTACATTGGGAAAGTGACAAAGGTGTTCATTCTGGAGATTCTGAAATGTGAGAAATGTGTTGGATACTGCTCTTCATTGGGAATTATCTTCTTTCTTATGGAAAAATCCTTAGTGTTCTATCCAGTTCTCTTTATAATCTTGTCAGTGAATCTTGTCAGCCATTTCAATGTTTGTGGTGTTCAATGTTTGTGTTCATCTTCAGTGAAGATGGTGGCAAACATGCATTTTAAGTCATTAGTTATCTTTGAATGTTCACTCACTACTTCTTTGCTGAATGAATTCCTTCAGTGTGCTTTTGATTCATGCTGTGTTACCTCGAGAGATACCCTTGAAGACACAAACACTTCCTATGCTTCTATCTCACCTTTTTGCTTTGGCCCCTTTGGGCAGGATATCTGCTTTTCTAACCTGTGCTGTTCTTGCTGCGCTTTGTAGGCAGAATACATCAAAGGACACTTGAGGGGCCATGGTGCTGCATCGTATGATACGCCCATGATGAGACACGTTAAGAAAGCTAATGTCTTAAGTAGTCACGTAAGGAGGATTCAAAGGGGCTGTCCTCGGCAGCTGCCAGTTTTATGAGTTTTGCTAGGTGTTATATTTCCGGCACATGAAGTCAAGCCTGAATTATCAATGGGATGCACTATTTTTTCCTGAGATCTCCCCTTTCTTTCTTATGTGTGAAGGTGGGCTTGTGAATTTCTCCAGCACTAGACTGATGGACATGTAATTTTGATCACAGCTTGCATTGAGGAAAAAGTTTAAGCCACTTGGAACTTCTGTGTGTGAGTGGGGAATCTGACCATACATACAAAAAAAAGCCTGCATAATTTAAATCAATTATAAAATCTTCATCAAAAATGTGTTTGAATAAAACTGTGTACCCTGGGGCATAGGTCCTTCTGAGCTTAAGGCATACAAACCACACAATTATAGAACTGATTTAATTTATATTTGTCATTTAGTGGTATATCTAGTCAGTACTGATGAATTCATTTCCATATTGTGAGCGGCATATGATGTTACAGTGGAAGAGGGCAGTGTTGACTCAAGGTGTTTTGCCACTTGAAATAAAGCCCAAGCCTCACTCCCCCACTCCTTCCGCCCACATTGCTCCCTAGAAGGCTAAACTTTGCTGCTCCAGTCATAGCGCCTTCTCCCCCTAACCCACAGGAAAAATATTTGCTGCTCCAGTCATAGCGCCTTCTCCCTCTACCCCACAGGAAAAATACAGCAGTTACAATAGCTTGCAGTTTTATTATGACAGCTCAGATCTGCAATTTGAGGTGACTGC